CAACAAGATCTTGATACAGAATTCTCAAGATACATCAGACTTGAAACCGTAGTAAATCTTGATCAAGATCTTGATCAAGTTTTTCCAAGGACATCAAGTGCAGAGGTATCAATAAATCTTGATCAAGAATTTTCAAGAAAAACAATCTTTAAAGAACTTGTGCAGATTTTCTCTTTCTGCAAGACGTGGGGCAATAGACCTGGTCATGTCTTTCGCAATAAATCACCTCGCAATAAATCGCAAATGTTTTTTGCGCACTTTCGCAAATATTTGTGATTACTGAAACTTATCAACTAATGAACTGTTAGTTTATTGCACGATTGTATCTGATGAGAGCCTGCCATTATAATGTATCGTTACTACATCAATGTGCGCTCAAATTTTAGTGGAAACTGGTTCTGCTTAGAATAGGCTATCGACTATGAAGAACCTATTGAAAATATCGCACGACCCATAAAGATGTCCAGAGAACACTCGGACTATTTTATCGATAGTACTACGAAAAATGTTCATGTAGTAAACTTCTCAGACGTACGTGTCCATAATCGGTTACCGAGAGAGGTAATAGCTGCTTTTAGATCTCGAGCTTTTAAATGTGCATTGACGAAACATCTTCTCTCTTGAAAGCAGTATATATTAAGCCATATCGTTTCTTCTTGTTTAAACTTTTTCCTTTTTTCTATCTTTTTCTTATTTCTTTTTTTTTGTGTAGTGGGATGATTTGGTCAAAGTTTTTTGTTAAACTTTTTATCACTGCCTTGTCAGTTTTTAAAATCATGGACTAAATAAATTTGACTTTGACTATCAAAACTGTAGAACAAACCAAGCGGGATCACTTCTGTATTTTCTAGATCAATTTTAGTAAACGGGATAAATTCTGCCATTTTCCCGGGATCTTTTCAAATTTTATTATTTATGTTTTGAATTACGAAACCTTTTTAGACCTTTGAGGGAGCGGGATCTTTGGAGAGTTTCGAGAAAACTTTTTAGATGTATATTAGATTACAAAGCTTACACATCAAATCAGAGAAAAATTCATAACATATTTTGAATAGTCCCCTAGTGAACACCGATCGAAGGAAAGTGTGAGCGTTGTGCTTGATTCAAAGTCATGGAAGGTCGTTTGCAGATATAAGCTCCTAAAGCCAATGGACCGAGCGAGTACAGACGAGCGTTATCTTACTTTACAAAAAGTTTCATTTTTGTATTGAGACAAACGTGCACGTTAGGCTACGTTCACCGTATTATTAGTTACTGAGCTCATTTATGATGATGTCCGAAACATCATTCAAATCAGAGTTAACTTTGTAACCAATCAGCTTCATTTTAGCTCATTTATTTAACTTTTGTAGTGTAAACGTGTAGTCTTACATTAATCATAAAAAATAAGTTTTTTGAATTATTCTTGAATGCAATTCCGCTATATTAATATCAAAAGTTGGCATGAATGGACCAATAATGTTGAAGATGATACCACCTGACGTGTCATTACTAATTCCAAAGTGTCATTATGAATGGATTTTCTTCAAACTTGATTGACATGGTTGCATTGTTGTTTGAGATTCTTTTGTTAGTTGAATACGAAATACACTCGATATTGTAATACGACCATTTGTTAATAAAACATAATTCATATTCAATGATTCTGGATGTTGTTGAATCGATTTTGTTGATATTAATTGAATATAAAATCAACTTGGTTTATCGATAGATGCAATCATGGTCGATATAACCAATGTTGATTCTGACTGTTTTGATCTTATTTCATTGGCAGTCATCATTTCAGTTGTTAATTCTCCACCAATTTCACGACATTTTGGAACTGGTCTTAATACTATTTCTTGTGTATGATAATCATAATGTTGTCCACCTCCACTTAGCGGCGTTAACTACAAGAAGAAAAGACAAATAAAATCGAAACCAAAATATGTTTTTAAAATAGTTACTGTGAGTAAAACTCCAACACAGTTTTGTGCGATTTTAACATTGAATAAACGGCCACGCGTATATAAATCTTTAATTTCAATAGACTTTTGTTGTTCATTTTCAAATAACATTGTTATAAGAGAGATATTCATAACATATTGTAGATGGTCCACTAGCGAACATCAACCGAAGGGAGATGTGAGCCATGGAAGGTGGCTCGCAAATATAAGTTCCTAAAGTCAAGGGATCCAGCGAGCGCATTATAATTAATTATAAATGCGTATTATAAATAATTACTCTCCAGAACTAGGTTTCAAATGATTTATGGATAACTAGATTTTTAAGGACCTTATGCACTATCAAAGACATCATTAATCGAGGATGAGATGTTTCATATCAATATGGCAAAGTGCCTGTGATGTCAGTACTAGATGGAAGCTAGCACAACAGCCAATACTATTCAACCTATTATTCATGTTAGTTGAATAGTATTGGCTGTTGTGCTAGCTTCCATCTATAAGTACTGACATCACAGGCACTTTGCAATAATAATGAAGCATAAAATACCAGGAAGAATCCACTAAGTACCTTACCGCTCTCCTTCGCAACTCAGCTAAATCCAACAATTTTCCAAAAGCTGCTCATCCAAGTTCCAAAAATCAATAATACCTACTCCAGCCTTAAATCAATTCATAACTTTGCATCGTTCCTCTCCAGTGAGTATACCTGCACCCAATCCACAAAAAGTGAAACCCAGCGCAATACTTTCACACACACCAAATCACTGAATTCAGTACCTACCTTCCAGAAACATGCCCTGAGTTCGTCAATATAAAACGGTATTTTCAACCGAAAATTCCATGGCAAACATGACATCCGTAAACTCGAAACTCCAACATGAAACAGTGATCGATGACATCGAAATCTATGCCTGAGAGCCGGACAAAATCAAGATTCATGTTGAGCACGTGTTGTGTTAGCCCTTCCGTCGGAGTTTCACATCATTGCTTTTTTATTATTGTATGTTTAGTTTAGATGTAGAGTTCAGCTGATATAGCCCGCGAAATGGTTCACCGTCAATGAATATCGATCAAGATAAAAATCTATACATCATTCCAGTTACGTTATCTAAATCTGTAAACATTCCTCCTAATTGCAATCATCAAGCTAAAGTCTCTATTCCTGTTTCATCCGTCACTTCCGCTTTTATCCCAAACTCTCGTTTTAAACAAAACACGTCTCTAGTCGTTGCACACAAACTTCTTGCATTTCAATCGTATTCTACTTCAATTACGTTATCCAATACATCATCGTATGCAAAATTTATTGGCAAAGGTCTCTGCATTGGTTTTTTATTTTGTTATCCAGGTCAAAATCATCAGGATCACATATCGTGTCATAACACTGAATATATTGGTGCTGCCAGCTCTTCTGGCGAGATACCAGTCGGTTGCAACGTTATTGGTGCAGCCCGTATATCTGGCAAGACACCAGTTTGTTGAAGGCAAATTCCTTCACCAACGAACATAAACGATACAAATTCTACCATTCAACAATCTCCAACTTGTAATTCTATCGAAACAATTAATCCAACAGTTGAAAAAGATATTTGTGAACTCGTAAGTACAATAGAGAATCAGAAACAACATGATGATTTATTAAGGGGCCCCCCAGCGAAAAAAACTTTTTTATTTCACATCCAATTTCGATGGCGCTTACAGGAATTAATATTTACTGTGCACGTAACTGATGCTAAAGATTTGGGCTCAAAACGTTCAAGCGTTGCCGTGTTATTGGCCGACAACGGGCAAAATGGGGCTCTTAGGAAAAATGTATAGCCTACGTTGGTAGAAAGAGTAGAAAGCTGCGAGCGGTCGTAAATAAAAATAGACACCTAAATCTAAAATTTGTCCGTAAGGATTTTTTGAATTTCGCTTCCGTTCATGAACGGAACTTAACATGGATGTGCACATCCATGTTAAGTGCAAGAAAATATCGACCAACACACAGTGGCCATTTTTTGCTAGAGCAGGCGGACTTTAGCTTTATGAGTGAACTAAAATTTCATGAACCATTTTTTACAGATTTTTCATGATTCTCTTTCTAATGGCATGAGAACTGGGTTTTGAAAAAGTTTTCTAAGGAGTTTTCCAGAGATCCGGTCTCTGTAAAACCCTTCAGAAAACTTTCTTAATATTCAAAAACGATGCCACGGGAAAGAGCATTGTCGAAAACCTATAACAAACAGGTTTCGAGTCGTTCAGGTTACTTTATCTTGAAATTCAAATTTTCAGCACGAAATTGTTTGTGTGAATCTCAAAAACCAAGAAATTTCTAGAATTCAGAATCGAGCCAACTAGATGAGTATACACCATTCGATGCAGTTTTTCACGCTGATTCCGAATACGACCTTACTTTCAAGAAAAGTGCTTTTTTGAGGGAGAAAACTGCAAAATACTCGAAAATTCCCAGGGTTTTTGGAAAGCCTGTAACTCAGCACCCCTAGAGCTGGAAGACTTTGTGAGATCAGTATATGTAGAGGAGGTTGAGACGAACATTTTGAGCTATTTTTCGTATCAATAGCTGGTCAGCGGACTTTAGCGATTGCATTTTTATGAGAACGTCTTCTTTTTAGATGAGTTCCATGGAAAGATCTTCGCGCGTTCCCCGAAATTTAACTTTGTCCGACGAAAGTTTTCTTACGCCTAGATAGCCCAACAGATGAAGATTCTATATATGTCATTGTTTTTGAAAAAAACTTATAATTTGACGGAGAAAATGCAATTTTACGCGCCAGTATACTAATTCTACTGATAATTTTGTAATTTAATTTTCTCAACTTTGGAAGAAGCTAGAGCCAAAAACGTTTCACCGTTAAATAGGGCATTATTTATAGTATATATGTCATCATTCAAAATATAAAAATTCGAACCTGCGATTTTTCACCAAAATGCCGCCTAAATGCCCACTGTGCAACACTACCAATTTATCTAGTGAAAGTATTACAACACAGAAAGCGCGTATTAAAAAGCTGCAGAATCACACGCTCAGATGATTGAAAAGAAATTCTAAATTCTTTAAACAAATACATCAAAACAGAGTATAGAGAAATCCGCAAAGCTCAATGGGAACAATATTGCTTACAGTTAGAACCGAAAAATATACCTAACTTTTGGCAGCGAACCAAAAATTTATTCAAGAAACGAATACCATCAATTATAGGTTTCACAAAGGATTCAACTACAGCTCAAGTGGTTGTAGATCACAATCAAATGATTGAACATGCTTATGATTACTACTCAAACTGTTTCAGATCTCATAATTTTGAATTCGGTCTTTGAGGCAAAATACAACATGAATATAAAATAATTGATTTAGTTAATAATCTATCTCACAGTCTCGATCAGATTCCATCATCACCATTCTTATTCAAAATCAATGATTTAAAATATGCTATCAGAACTTTAAAGAATAAAGACTCTTCAGGACCAGATAAAGTATCCAACAAACTGATCAAAACCATTCCATCATCTCATTATTCTTTTATTTAATATACCTTCGTAAATGGATTGATAGCAACGGAATCTTGCCACCTGAACAATCCGGTTTTAGAAATCATCATTCCACAACATCACGTTTTACTCAATATCTTCAAGATGTCACGTCTGCCTTAGAACAACATACGGCAGTAATTTCAGTATATTATGGTTTCCCTAAAGCGTTTGATCAATTATGGCATGATGGATTGATCTATAAATTGTGTGAATTGAACTGCCCTAAAGAACTGGTACCAATTTATCCATATGTATTTACAGAATACACATTCTTACATTGAAATGAATAGCATTAGGTCAAGCACCTTTGATATACACCGAGGGGTGCCTCAGGGTTCCTGTTTGGGCCCAGTTCTGTTCATACTGTATCATTCTGAATTACCATCAACACTTACTGAATCCAGTCATACTCACTTATACACTGATGATCTCACTACAATCATTCGTCCATCGCCGTGGTGGTTGAAGGAGCAATTTGCTAGTAAAATGCAAGAGTCAGCCCAGAAAACAATAAATCAGGTGTTGGAGTACTCTACTATATGGAAACAAACTATAAATATCATAAAAACTCATTGGCAATGGCTCCTTAGAACAACCTATCTATCCAAAATTCAACTGAAAATCGGACAGGAAACACTTAAAAATGTCAATATGTTCAAACTATTAGGTTTCCACGTTGATTCACGGCTATCATTCAACACACACACGAAAGAAATGTTATCTAAAGTGAAAAAAAATACGGCAATGTTAAAATATGTGTCTAGATCAACAACATCCTCATTAATCAGCCGACAATTGATTTTTAATTTTAGCAATATTTTTGGTATCTGTGACGATCTTTGGAGGGTCTTGAGAAAACTTTTTAGAATTACATTAGATTACGAACCTTACACATCAAATCAGAGAAAAATTCACAACGTACTTTAGATAGTCCCTTAGCGAACGCCGACCGAAGGGAGGCGTGAACGTGAGAAAGGGATAGTACGAAAGGTAATAGAGAGAGGTATAGTACGAAACGTTTCCTACTACAATACCTTCAAGAGGTGTATTATTTTTTATTAAAGTGAAAACAAATACGGCAATGTTAAAATATGTGTCTAGATCAACAACATTCTCATTAATCAGCCCACAATTGATTTTTAATGCATATGTACTTCCATATATGCAATTACTGTATGTTGTCTGACCTCTTTTGTGTAATACATTAAGAAATTCAATTGAAGCTAAGAATCGCCAACTTTACAGATATGTTCATTTATGGTTTGATGCAACTAATGATGAAATTAGCTGGAGTAATAAGTTTAAAACAATAAATCACAGGCCACATGTTTTCTTATTACGCTTCCTAATGAAATCCTGTAGGCATTACCCAGAATTTTTAGAGAGTTATGTACAACATGAAACAACAAAACTGTATTTACAAATGAATAGTGAATCACATTTTATTCCATATCTTCCTCAGGGACGACCAACGAGACATGTTCAACATTTACAAGAATCACAAAGGTCCTACGTTGCGAGACTAGTGACCTTCCTTTATCCAGACAACACAGGAGCTACTTCATTGGAAAAATAGTTCTTGACTATGAAAAACTGTATTACAATAAACCTATGTAAATCATGTAAGCGGCTTTAGGTCCAATATGATTTTTTCTTTTTTCGAATGAAATAAAGCTTTATCTCTCTCTTGAACATTATTTACGTAGTGATGGCGTTCTAATGTTTCATTTATACGAGACAGATTTTAATGATACAATAACAGGGAGAATTATTACCCGATTATTTAAAAACATCTATTGTTCAACTAAAAAAGACTTGTAATTTTTATCTATTTGTTTTTTCTTTCCTGCTTACAAGCTGTATTTTTGTTCATTATTGCTGCTTCTACTTCTATTTTTTTAACAAAGAACTAAAAAGAACATTGTGTCTTAAAGGTTATAATCAACTTCAAAATTATTTCTCCTTAAAAGCCGTGATTAAACGAATGATAATGAGGATGCTCTACGTGACACGAAAAACTTAATAATACAAGTATAATCTACTTTCAACTCAGCTTGATTCTTTAATTACCTTGTTGCTACGAAGAAACCATGTCCAGCATTTTCCCCTCTTTGCTTATGTTTCTTGCGTCCACGAATTTCTATTGGTTTTTGTTTCAAACCAATGAAACTATTTTTATCGTTGTGATACACCATTGTGTTGTGATAGCTTCAGTCAAGTGATGTCAGTTATTATTGATTTTTTTGCTTTCTTTCTTTCTTCTTGCTTAGTCACAGACGTGGATGACATAGATAATCGGATTCCGCTCTTCTAAATTTGCAAGTTGTAAAATTTGATTGATATTTGATTCCACATAATATTGACTAGTTTTAGATAAGTTTTTTATATTAACATGGCAAACGAAGATAATGGTGAGTTGCAGTATGAATATAAATTAAACATTATAAGTATACTAATTTTCTTTCGAATTTTAGATCGAAATCACCGTTCTCGTTCAAGAGAGCGTGATAGGCGGCGTAAACGTTCAAAATCAAGAGATCGCAACGAGAAAAGACGTCGATCTCGGTCAAAAGAAAAACGACGAGACAGGTATAATTTTTCAAAGCTTAAAAAGACCTAAAGGCTTTAGGGTAATTATTATTATCTTTTTTCAGTCGCTCTCGTTCACCACGTGATCGCGATCGCAAAAAGGAGAAAGTTGATAAAAAACCAAAAAAATACAAATACTGGGATGTACCACCTGCTGGTTTTGAACATATCACACCTATGCAGTACAAAACAATGCAAGGTAAGCGAAAGATTTTCTATGGAAAAACTTGAACCCATATCGGTTTTTATTTTTAGCATCGGGCCAAATATCTCAGATTTTCAGCGGTAAAGACTGGAGTGCTAATACAGCAGCTGCAACACCCGTCCTAGGAAGTCATGTTGTTCATCAATCGAGACGTTTATATGTTGGTAACATACCGTTTGGAGTGTCAGAAGTAAGTTTGGTTACTTATTTTTGTCTACCATCTTCAGTCCTTATATCTCTTTTTTTCTAGACAGCAATGATGGATTTTTTTAATCAACAAATGCATCTGACTGGTTTATCCCAAACAGAGGGAAACCCTGTGATTGCTGTACAAATTAATTTGGATAAAAACTTCGCTTTTCTTGAAGTAAGTATCACTGAGTTTAATATACGAACATATACAGAGTCCACGTTATATTTTACTTTAGTTTCGTTCCATTGATGAAACAACAGCAGCAATGGCATTCGATGGAATTGTATTTCAAGGACAGTCATTGAAAATTCGTCGTCCACGCGATTATCAGCCAATGCCAGGCATATCCGACCAACCGAATCTAAACGTTCCAGGTATTTGTTGTACCTCTGTTATAATAAGTCGTTGTCGACGTAAGAAAAATTTCAATAATAATTCTGTGTTTTGTTTAGGTGTTATATCTACTGTTGTAGCTGATAGCCCATTTAAGATATTCATCGGTGGTTTACCAAATTATTTAAATGATGATCAGGTAACTGAGTCAGTGATCAGTGATTTTTGCGTTGATCGGGGTAGAAGCAGGTGTTCAGCGTATGTGTAGAAAGATGCGAGTTTTTTTTTATTAATCACAATAATATTTTTAACTATTCTGTTATTGTTCTAGACTAGGTCAGCGGCGGCACAGTGTCGACAGTTCGGTTAAAACCATACACACACATCCCAATTAACACGGATATAATAGACGTGTTTATATGTCACCAAGAGACGCTGTTGTTAATGTAAAAGAAAATGCAAGCAGGCAGGCAGCAAAAAATATTTCTGCTTTTTTGTTTCTTTTAGAGAACTTTCTTTAGATTAGGAGGAGAAAATCAATTTGAGGTTGTTGGAAAAACCAATCGTTCGCTTAACGGACTTTTCGTTTACATAACAGACATAAACTCGTCGACATAGATAATCAGGTCACATTTCAGACACTTTGAGTACTTTTCATACACGAACGTTTACTTGCGACATGAACTCAACTGTTAGCCGAATAAGTTTCCTTAATTGACAATCATATGAGATGTTTTAGATGTAATCATCTATTTTTTAATAATTGTTAGTAGCATATCATGGATGAAAAAATTATTTATGAATGGTTTTGAAATCAGATGTCTTTTTTCAACATTCAGAACGTATGGCACTGTAATTTGTAAATAAGGATGGTAAAAGTCATACCGGTACAAAATTCGTTAGGTTTTTCGTGATGTTTGATTGTATACTTGCTGCGACGTAGGTAGCCATGGTCCACCCATCCCAGTTTTTCTTTCCTGTACATTGCCGTGAAATGAAAGATATTTTCATTAAGACGCAAAATAATTGTGCGCACATCTAGATATTGTCAATACTTCTGATTTAGATGAAGTAGTTAATGAATTTTCGAAACAAAAACGGCGAATTACATTTGATGATACTTAGGAGAAAAAACACATTATTTGGGTTGTTTTCTATTTAAAAACTTTTTATAGTCAAGCATTTAGCATGTTTACTTGTCCCAAAAAAAAGCTCGTTAAGAAAAAAATAAAAACATATTAGACGGAAACGCCGGGAAAAAAGGAGAAAACAAATTAGAAAATAGAAAAAAATTATACATGAACCACCCCTCCTAAAAATCTTGCCTACGTCGCTGCATACTTGATGTGTCTTCGACTATGTCGACGAGTTTCAAAACATTTCTTTCGTTTCAGAAAATCGAATCAAAGTGTATTTAGCAACAACCCAAACATTGACTCTGTCATTTTCTTTTAGAACTTTAGATTGTCCATCATACCAATGACTGACTGCTGCTGCATTCTTTTCTTTTAGAGAGCTTCTTTACTTCCAATTTAGCGTCTCCAATTTAGGGTCTTTTTTTCTGATTCTCTCATGAATGCTTCGTTTACGGAACAACGACTAAAAGAGATGTGATAACTATAATCTTTTTATACATGAACTTTTTCACTACTTTTCGTAGCGTGTAGTTTGTGGATTTCAATGTTACAAGCGTCAGTTCGGGGCGTTTTTTTAACATAAAATTATTTGAAAATTCTTTTTTAGTAATTAGGTAGAGAAAACAATGAATTATGCTCAATTCTTGTGATGTTTTTTTTACTTTTGAAATGCCATTCGACGCTACGAATGAGAGAAGGAGAACCAAAAATTTCTCTAGGATTTGTTTATAGTGTGCGGCGGACTCGAGAGACTCAGGAGCGTCAAACCTCACCAACTTTTGGGTTTAACATTTCGTTAAAACACATGGTTTGATCTATACATACAAGAAGAGAATGGATTCTCGTGACATTAACAATATTTATTTCCAGTTTTGCATCAAGGAATGAACAGAGAAAATAGTTTTTTGGTGCTTTGTAGGTCGTTTCAGTTATTTACTGATTTATCTGTATTTTTATTCGTATTCAGATACGATAGGCTTCAATTTTACTTGAACTCTTCGGTAAAAACTCAATGAGGAGTGGAAAAGAAAATATTTTGAGCCTCATCTATTGTCAAACGCTCGGCTGCCTGACTGGGTGGCTCGTACGCATTTCAAATACTTTTAATTTTCATAAAAGAGATGAAGACAACATTTAGTCTATTCTATTCCGTGATCTGTATTAACACATGCTGCGGGTGATTCTGATCAAAATAAAACTGCGTTGGAGCATGAGTGAGACAATCATTGTTTTTTTCCTTTAGGTGAAAGAATTACTCATGTCATTTGGTCCATTGAAAGCATTCAATCTTGTGAAAGATGCAGCAACTGGACTATCGAAAGGATACGCGTTCTGTGAATACGTTGATGCTGGAGTTACCGATGCTGCCATTCAAGGTCTAAATGGAATGCAACTGGGAGACAAAAAACTGATTGTTCAATTAGCCAGTGTTGGAGCTAAAAATATGCCAGGAGTAAGTTGGTTTGGTTTAAGCACGTGTTGTAGATAAAGAGTTCGAACCAATCGATCTATTTCTTTTGATTGTTACAGTAGGCCTCTAGCGTTTTCGAATAGAAAAATTTTTAATTTTCGCACTGGTGCACCTGTACGGTTTGATAGCAGACGTGCGCACAAAAAATGCCCATATATGATAAGAACCAGTGTAGTATTGGTACAGATCAGTGCGGTACTTTCATTAATGCAAAATTAAGAAAATGCAACTATAATAAAGAACTGACTAAATAAGCTTCAATGCGGCACTGATTTTTAGCAGTGCGACACTTTTTGGCATAAATATATCGGCACTGCCTGGCACTGGTGCCAATCGCCACTGGTTCAATACTTGCTGGGCACGGGTACGCAAGCAATGCCACACTGATTTAGTGCTGCACTGAAATCATTTTTAGGGATTCGCTTCACATTTTTCTTCACAGAACAGAGAACAGTTATATTCTCGCATTTTGTTCATCAGCTGACAAAATGGCGGAACAGAAAGAAGAAGAAAACGAAAAAACAACAATTATCATTCTTTTTAAGAATATTAAATTAACCTTTATGCAAAAAGAAACAACATCACAATTAAGTGATTAATCTTAGTCACTTTACATACAGTTCTTCTTGACCATTAAAACAAAAACAAATCTCTGAATAGTAAATCTGAAAATTAAAATATTTACAACTGGTCATCTTTGAAGTAAATATGTTGAACGTCAAGAATAGTAGTAAAAGAATTAAAATAACTATGGTAATGACAATCAAAGGCATAGCGATGCAGGTTTCTAGTTACGCTGCTAAAGCTCAAAAGATAAATGGTAAACTGGAATAAGTTTCATAAAAAAATGTAACAAAGAAAAACTGTTTAAGATACGTTATGATCTTACATTTTTTTGTGAAGCAAAAAATTCTCTTTCCTCTTTTTTGTGAAGAAAAATGTGAGAGATAACATCTATTCGAATGTTAGAGACCTAATATAGAAAACAGTCATATTCATAATTGTAGTTTTTAACGGTTTGTCCACGAGTATAACGTTCCATACTGATGACTAATATGTGATGATTCTCATACGTGTACGCGAAAGATGAAGAATTTCGAAAGGCCCCTTAATGACACATGGTTTTATCATAAACATCTTGTGTCTATTGTAGATGACATCTGTCCCAGTCAATGTTCAAGTTCCTGGTTTAAATTTATCTTCCGGATCTGGACCAACAACAGAAGTTCTGTGTTTGTTAAATATGGTTACAGAAGACGAGTTAAGAGATGATGAAGAATTTGAAGGTAAAAAGATAAGTGTTGATATTTCCTCCACTGTTCTAATATTTCATGTTTACCTTTAGATATAATGGAGGATGTCCGTGAAGAATGTGGAAAATATGGTTTTGTTAAAAGTCTTGAAATACCACGCCCAATTATGGGGGTTGACGTGCCAGGAGTTGGAAAGGTAATTACGATCTGTTTCGTTTTTCAACACTCTCTTACTTGACAACTTTACTTTTATTTAGATATTTGTGGAATTTACATCCATTAGTGAATGTCAAAAGGCTCAACAAGCACTAACAGGCCGAAAATTTGCCAATCGTGTTGTCGTGACATCTTACTATGATCCAGATAAATATCATAGACGAGAATTTTGAAAAATAAACAGTTTTTTTTTTGTTTTTATATCTTCTTTAGTTTAACAAATCCAAATAGTCTTTCTTTCTATCTGTCTCTTCTTGTACAAGATTTTTTTTCTAATAAATGTGTTCTACGCCCCTTTTCAATATTCATTCAGAAAGAAAGTATGTGTACTTGTTTTTTTTTGTTGTTACTCGGCTGTATCAGTTTATCACAAATAAAAATAGACAACTATGGATTGTTTGTTCTTATAGATGAATTGCAACGTCAAAATGAACGTATGATTTAACGCTTCGTCAGTCAGCTTGTATATGAGATCTTGGATGCACTCTTTTGTCTTCTTTCAGAGTTAAATAATACTGCACAAGCTAAAAAGAATGGACATTTTTTTTTGTGATTTCCAGAGCTCAAAAGTCTATAAGAATTTTCTATTCCCTTTCTGAGCACAAATCAAGCCATTTATGACACCTAACGGTTATATTCGGTATATATAGTAAGTAAAATTTTTCATCACATCTTATCTTCAATTTACGATTTTTCCAGCAAAAAAGCATAGATACGTGATTTTTTACGAGAAAACTACGTTCAATTTGATGAAAAATTAAAGTGGATAATGAATAGGTATGCACCAGTTATTTTCGATTGTTTTTGGAGCATCCGGGAAAATTTTTATAACGTGATTATTACGAATTGCTCAGATTTGCGAAACATCTCATTTGTAGGCATATATTTGTTCTATGTATTTGTATGAAAGATAAAAATTAAAGGTTGAAAAAGAGGGGGTATTCTCGTTTCGTCGACAAAGCGGCCACTTCAAAGAATATAGATCAGAGAATATCAGAGGCGGGAGGGGCGGTGTGAGTGAGTTGTCGACGAAACAAGAATACTTCGAAAAAGAGAAGTACTTTTAACGAATTACTGAAGAAGCACGAAATACATAGAACAACATTTTTCTACAAAATGAGACGTTCCGCAAATCTGAGCGATTCTTAATAATCGCGTTAACAATTTTCTTGGATGTCCTAATACCAGTTATATAACTCGCGCATGCCTAGTAATGAATGTGATGTATTAATTGAAAAAATGTTTAAAAGGATGAGTTTAAAGCATTTTACGTAGCTGTTAATAAATTAAACGACGAGTTCCAATGTACCTTTCACTATTTTCCATGACTTCAGTAACTTCTATGCTGAAATGTGAACAATCGTTTTATTTAGACTTTTTTTTTTCCTTCAAAACAAAACAAAAAATATTGTTTGTATAGATACAATAATACCTTCACAGTGAATATTCATCACTCACGAGTAACTGTTTTTTTAGATACGAATACACACATACACACACACAGAATTTTCTTAAAAATAAAAATAAAACATTATACAAAATAATCTTTCATAATCTATCATAATAAAAGTAAAAGCAACATCAACATTAAAAACAAAAACAAAAAGAATGAGGTGACAAAAAAATGAAAACTTTTTTGCTAATACTACAAGATATAAAAAACATACACATATTATATTATGCAAAATAAGTCAGTTATGTATTGCGTAATTATATTGACACATTTGGAAGCAACGTAGCGCTTGTTGGTGTTTGTAGTATTTCCGATACGAGAGTGTGTGTGTGTGTGTGTGTATGTGTGTATGACAATGCAACGTAGAGAATTTTGCATAGGTAAAAAACAAAAAAAACAAAAAAAAATGAACAATCACTGTGAAGTCTGTTCATATCACAGTAATTACAATGTGTCCAGGAAATAAATTCTAATCTATAATATTAGTCGGTGACTAGAGGAAAGGTTTGCACATCGCGTTCTTTCATTGTATAGCAAAAAACAGTGGTAATTGTTAAAAAACAATAAGACTAGATTCAATTTTCTCATTTTGACTAGAATAAATGAGTAAAGCATTGTACTAAGATAAGAATGTCTAGCTTTGTAAAAGAAGAGTAGAATAGATTTCGTGTGTAAACATATAGTAGATGCATAGAATAAACGAAATCTAAATTTGCGTAGAACTATTATAAACGTTTAATTCACACGAAAATGTTTGACTAAAAACTGACACATTCATTTAACTGACACAATTTTCATTATCAGAAAATATTTGTGAATAATTTCTATCTTTACACTCTTTTCGAGTGGATAACCTCTACTAATCTGGGAGACGAAAACAAGTACAGCCAATGATAACAAATTCGCTTCCTGAGATTATTTTTTAGACATACATATCAGTAATATTACACAAAAATTCCACCATCAACATCCTGACTTCGTTTGAAACCATCCCAGAGGGCAGACATAATTTCACCCATGATAACATCATTTGTATTCATTGCTACTAGCCTTAATACAAGTACACCGTCTTGTCGTAAATATTTATCGGAAAATGTTGTAAATAATTTCCTATCGAATTTTTCACGTGTTATACGATTCATTATTTTTAAATACTTTTTTAAAAAATTAACTCTGTTCCATGGCATCACTTGCCAAATCGTCTTAAAGAATCCGTAACACGATAATGCTGATACGAATACAAGCCAAAACCAAATAAATATAAATATTTTCTCGTTGAATAAATTAACGGGTAGCACACACTAAAAATAGATGAAATTAACATTAGGCATGTAGACTAAGATTTTTGTAGAGCTGCTTAGTATTATACGATCTAAAAGTCAGCAAGATCTATGTTCATATGAATTTTATTAAACTACTAATAGTATGTAAAAGTATCAATTGTTCTCTATAAAAGTTATTTCAGACATGGCTGCCCCATGGTCGCAAACTGCGACTTTGAGAACTGATCTCTTCAATTGATGAAACGTGCCTCCCATATCTCGTCCTCTCGACAACTTTTAATCTCATTCATCTACATAAGGTACACAGAAAATATAACTTACGTTGTTGCTCTCTAATTATACTGAAAGTATAAAATCACATAGACGAAATGTCCGTATATCCATCTGTAGTAAACTAGTGATACAAATACACCTAGAGCCAGTAGTGCTCGGACCCTAGAGGATATCCAGATTGTCTGGTCTAAAAAACAGGAAGATGTTCATTTACAGATTCTGTTTCTATTTTCTTATCCTCATCAGCGGGAAAATAGTTGCTGATCTTGTTTCCATTTTCTGATCAGAAACAAAACAGGTTCTAATCTTGATTCCTGTTACTGATCAGGAAGAAAAACAGTGTCAGATCAGGAGCAGAACCTAGATATTGTGTAATCTGGACATTCTCTAGGGGAGCTTCTAAAACTATGATAGAATGACTATGGAAAAATCAGAAAATGACAGAAGAAGTCTTCCAGTCCTCTGAAAGGAATCTTATCGGTGAAAACTTGTTTAATTAAGGATTAAGATAAGCGGGAATGAAAATAGTACTGGCACATTTCATATACGAATATTGACGGCGTCGGTGTCATTTTGAATTTATTTACCTTGTCCTTAGATAAGTGAATCTGATAAGCATTTTATGAATAATGAATAAACGAAGTGAATAACTACTACAGATATCATAATTGAGATTTTTACAAGATCTAATGTATTATTTGATTTGAGCTTTCGATGATTATACTATCACCATTATCAAGAAATGGCTTTACATATTGAAAAAAGTTAAAATTTGTCAAACACCAGTAGGTCATTGCTATGTTAAATAGTTCTTTCACATTGTACAGTGAGCTGATATGTATGTGTTGGGTACGGAACCTTCCATTATAGAGTCGAATGAATTTTGTACGATACTTGTCATTTCCATTTCAGACTTTTCTCCTTATAATCCTCAAGATTCCTAACTCGAGTATTTTTAATGAAAACCAAGAGGTAAAGCCTAGTTGTAGGGTAAATATGTAATGCAAATACGGCAGACGAAGGCTTTTGGGTAAATTCTCATGCTCTAAACGATGAGCAGACTAAAATTTTACCACCGTTCAAATCAAGTGCAAAGTAGTCGAAGATATATGGAAGCACTCTTACCTGTATCGTATGTTTATGTATATGATCGGCCATCGTTCTTATTTCAAAATCGCACATGGTAACTCTTGGAAATCTTGCACTGCGACAACATTCTTTTCCTGATAATAAATTTTTCATAACTTCAATTCCATAACCATGGAAATTTGAACCCATGAAAATGTTCAATAGAAATAGTTGTCCGACAACGTTTGCAATGTAAAATAATTTAACTAGTAAATATAAAAATGTCAAATAATTGCCTTGTGCACGTCCAACAATAATAAATGGACATTGTCTTCTTAGAATTCGTTTCATTTGTGAAAATAATCCGGTACCAGCATCACGCTGTGTTTCTAGAGCACGATCGATATGTTTTGCGATATATCTTAGAGTTCTATCTCGAATATCCGGATTTAATTGTTCCATATGATGTAATGTTTTAACAAGATTTCCAATATCAAAACCGGTTTTTGTTGATAAGGCATGCCATAACACCGATGGAATGTAAAATAGTACAGACATAAGTAGTAAAATAAAGGGTATCCATTGATAATAGGCTAAAACACAAAATACAAAACCACTGAGTACAACAGCATCAATATATTTTATTCATACCATACCTATATGTTTTGGTCTTTCATCATGACGGGCTGGCAGAGTACTTTCGAAAGGAACATAGTATGTATTGCTTATCCAGCAAATATAATTGGCATATTCAACGTGTGAACCTGGAAGAAAAAATTATTTTTGTATAAAAATCTAAAGGTAACAAATACAGAGTATATACAAACCAGTAAATTGTGCTGGACAAAAACCTAAATGAAACGTTTATAAATGTTACATTTTTGAAACAAATTTGGGTTATTTAAATAGTTAACCTACAGGCAATTGGATCTCCGACATATTGTTTTGTACTGACAACAACTGTGAATAACATTAATAAAACAACCGAAAAACGTCTTGATAAACGATCGTATAAATCATCGTCATTGTGAAATTTGAATTGTCGAACTTTGGCTATGGCATCGAGAAATCCGGCCACCATGCTAGAAATAAAAAACCGAATAATTATTTTCACAATAAGTTCAATGAATTTATTAAAACCAGAAAGAATTTCCCATCAGTATAGTGTGGTATACTACTTACTGATCAACATACTCAACGTAATGATTGATATGACCAAAGACTTCCGATAAAATCATCATTTAATACAACTATGTCAATCTGTATGTCATATACTACTTCATTTAAACTTTGTCTAGTAAATGATGATACGCAGTTTTTTTTTCTTTTTTCCCTCTCTGTGTTTTTGTCTTCTATACTGTTTGTCGATAGTACGTAGCATCAATGATACTGATAGTACTTTTATTATTAACTACGATCTGATTGTATTACTAGTATCATCATTACACGCACACACACACAAAAGAAATATGTTATTTATTAACATCATTATTTTTCACTGATTTTTCCAACATTCTATATCTATTTTCTTTTCTTGTGACTATTCCATTAGATTTCCATAAAATTGCTTTAACAACTAACTATTACTGGTAATAGTACTAACCTCTCAATGTTTTGTTTTTATAGATATGCTCATTTTCTATTTTATCTTTTCTTTTTTTCGTCTCGAGCCATATTAAAATAATCCTTTTTCCAATTTTTATTGAACATATTGAATAAGTACGCATGCATTCCTTTGGGAATATTCTATCTTCTTATCTTCGACCTTCTCTTATTATTGTTGTTGTGATGATAATGATGACGATGATGATGATGGTAGTAGTGATGATGATGATGATTACATAACAAGAAATCAAATGAAAATTTAATTATAGAATACAATACAGAAGAATGTTTTTCATGGATGAATAATCTGTTGTCGCTTATTTTTATTTTTGATAGCTTCCATGTTTCCTATGAGTTTATATGATGATTCTGCTTAAAGCTCACACATAGAAGAAAAGGAAAGAGAGACAATTTTATGGTGTTTAATACATGACAGAAAATTGCATTGATAAACACCAACGATCACCCATAGTTCATTATGTGTATTAAACAGTTCAATTGACTTTCGAACATTTCTATAATATATAGTCAAATATATAGTTTTTATCTTTATTCAATATGGACACACTTGTGTCTTGGTCAATATATGTGTACTCTACTGTTTATGAAATGAGTTTGAATCGGACGTTTCTAGTTTTACATCGTAATGGAATCAAAAAATGGACTTTCACTAAGATTTAATCCAAATAGTAAAAGTTACTTTTTTACTTATAAATAAAACTTAAGACACCGTGTTCATCATTATCATTAGAAAGAAAACAAATGTTATGAGAACAACGAAAAGTTCAGACAAAGAATTTCTGATTTTGGTACCTGTCATGCTCGTCAAGAAAAAAAGACTATAATAGTGGATGCTCTTTCGCAAGTAGCAACTTTACATGAAATTAATCAGCCTGATAAAATGCTGTAATATTCTCATATAATGCTTTAGATGCGTGAATAATGAGAAGCATGACAAACAGCAAATTTCGTCAATATGTACATATTCAAGAAAAACTATAAATTCAGCACTTGTTTAGGTCTTACTAGATACATTAGAACATACAACTTTTTTTTTACATTTTAAACAGTGATCTTTTTTCCATAATTTAAAATTCATTTGTACTTAAATATTTTCTACCATTTTGATGTCTTCGAACATTAACTGTTCTCTTCCACGTACCGAGTTGAGGAAAAAGTAAACCGTGAGTTTCGTTTTTCATATATCTTTCTTACTATTAATGCTAAAGAGCCAATACAAATCCCATTCGAAAGAGCAGATATTTTTGAACATATAAAAATAATTATTACACAAGACTGTTCAAGCTTTGTAAAAACACTTTTCCTTCTCTGTGATCTTAAATAGAAAAGTTGTTGATGTTGGATCTCCAGTGACCTATTTAAAAAAATGTATAACTTGGAACAAGAAACATCATAGAAAAGCGTCTCATTATATAGAGGACACTTAATTATATATTGTACGATATTTAACTTGAAAATCAAAATTTTGACAAAAAGAGGGCGAAGAATACTCTTAAACAAATTCCATTTTTAATTTTGATCTCAGTTAACGAATGGTGAAAAAAATTTTGTTTTACTGGTTATTTTAGCTCCAATCAATGAATCGTTATAGTGAAAGTTACATTACTATCTGATAGTTAATACTTTGTGTTTTGAAGCCTACAACTATGACGGATACAATAATAGGATTAAATTTCCAAACTTATAATGTCATTTTTGATGAGCTAGAAACACAACACTTTAAGACGACAAAAAAATTTTCTATTTTTATAAAACTTGAACAGTCTTCTATATTAATTACTTTTATATATAGTGATGTTCAAAAAATATCTCTACTCTTTCGAGTGGTGTCTGAATTAGTTCTCTAGCATCACTAGTATAAAAAAAAAAAAAAGATACATCAAAACATAAAACTCACAGTATTTATAAAAACTTTTTGATATTAATAGAGTCAAAATCGCTAGACTAATTTAAGAATAATGTAATTCTCTATCTATTTTTAAGTTTAAAAATTAATTTTTTTTGAATACCTTACGATTATACTTAAAGTAAATTAAAATAGAAAATCATACCGATATTGTCGGACAGGATCCATCTTTAATCTTGTTCAATAAACACAATAAGAAAAAAATGACGAATAAAAATGACGTTATTGACCATTGCATACAACTGATAATAATAATAAACGAAGCATACGTTCTGTTTTAAGCAATCTTTGCGCATCAAGTCTTTTACTAAAAGAATTTCTATTTTTTTAAGAAAAAAAAAAGTAGAAAGTTGGTATACATAATCAAAAAAAAAAAAAAAATTGTAAATAATTTATTAAAATATGGCGTTAGAAAATTTTTTTTTTTAAAGTTCATTCATTTTCTCTCGTCTATCGTGTGTGTAGTCAACGGATCTTTACAACTTTTTTTCTGTGAGGAAAAGAAACTTCTCTCATTAGTTCAAAACATGTTACACGCACACATTTACTAACAGATATATGACTACTTCTTTTTTTTTTTTGTTAAAAAAAATGTCTGGTCGCGCTAAATTTTTTACATCATCCGGTAAGAACATTTTCATTCTATTATTTGAAGTGGTTAGATATATATTTATTTTCAAGTTTTTTTTTATCAAAATTCATTATGATATTCTAAATTCGGATTTTTGCGTGTTTTTTTTCTTTTTCTTTTTTTATCATTATTTTTCTTCATCTAAACTAACTAATTATTTTGAGATACTTATATGTTTGCTTAATGATGACTATTTTATTAGATGAAATAGAAATTTGACATTCTTATTCAGATTTACTGTATCTTTCGATTCGAAAAATTTGATTTTTCTTTTCTTTATATTTCTTATTGAGAATTATTTGGTCATATTTATCTGGAAATGTTATTCATCTATCATCTTTATTTTTTTAAATGGTTTTTTGTTTTTCGTATAGAAGATACATATCTTAGTGTTCATCAATAGGATCAACTCGAAACAATATAAAATTAGAATGTGAAGATTCATGTAAAATAGATAAAATTTTGTTTTATTTATTTTTTAACATCATTTTTGTATTATATAAGATATTTAATTGTTTAAACGTACCTTTAAAATTTGTCATTCATCTGACTCTTTGCACAGCATATAATTGCTGTTGTTATTTCTTTTTAATACTATTGAAATTAAATTTTTTATTTATCTTTATTTGAGAAAAGTACATTAATTATGAGTTTTTGTTTATTTTAAAAAAATAAAAATGAAGATGTTTTAAAATGATATCCTAATAAAATAAGATGACAATGAAACTTTTTCTGTTTCTTTTTTGTTTTTCTTTTTTATACTGTTCATCTCTCTCTTGTTCGTCTTGTTTTTCCCCTTAATTTTTTTAATACCAGACGTATAAAATGATTTATTTAAATGAGCATTTTAAACTAATCAAAAAGTTAATTTCCTTTTTCTATCAAATAAATAAAATTCTTTCTCATCAAGTTTTATTCTTATTTTTTTCTTTTTTTGGACAAGAATAACTATTATTTACACAAAAGATATGTGTGAACAACAAAAAAGAATATAGAAGAAGAAGATGAAGAAGAGAAAAAGTTAATTAACTCAAATATCAAGCAAAACCAAAAATTAATGTGTCTTTTTAACCACTTCCGAATTAGTCATAAAAAAAAAAAGAGAGAAAAAGAGATGATGTGTCAAAATGAGGAACAGTAAAACAGTTAACATACACGCAATGATGAGTCATTTATTAATTTCATTATAAAATAATTGTATGCGCACTTTTAAAGATAATCAAACAAATTAAAATGTTGAAAAGCAAAGAAAATTGACAATTTTTCCTTTTGTATGGTACAATATTAAAAAAAGTAAAATTCACTTTTTGGTTTTTAAATTCACTTCTTATTATAAATGACTATCATATGTAAATTATTAACAGAAGTGTATGTATTCTAGTGTATTACTTTATTTCATTTTATTTCTTAATTATCGTGCTGCTACTTTCTGCATCATGTCGTTATGTTCATTTCTAAACGGCTAATTTTTATGGAAGTGCGCTGCACAAAATGATGAATAGAACACTTGATATTTTACTTTAGTTCTTGAACTCTATTCTATAATGAGATTTTATGCTTTGCTTTATTTCCGTTCTCTCTTTTTTTTTCTCTCTCACGCATAGTGGGCATTGATGCAAGTAAAGTTCAACATATTTCGTATGAAAATATTTTTTTTTCTGTTATTCTAAGAAAATTTTGTACTTTTATAACAAAACAAAGGTATGAAAATGGATAAAAGAAAATTCTCAGAATTATATTCTATCCTGTTATATATAAATTTTTAAATTAAAATCGATTTTGATTATAAATATAGAATTATCCAAAATATAAATTATCGAGTTTGATGACAAAGTCGATTAAATGAAAAAGAAAAAAACATTCGTTACTTTCATCCAATGGAGAAATTCTTTGAGTAAAACGAGTTTTCCATTTTTTTTTCCCTTCGTCATCTCAATCAAAATCGATGCTAAAATGTTTGTCTATGGTGTACACGTTGCAAACGTTCCTGGATATTCTAAAATCTGATGGTTTTTTTATATAAATTCATGTTTATTTTTAACTTCAAAGTCTATTTAATTGAAAATGAAAGATATTTTAGAATTAGAATATTCAGAAAAAAACGTTTCACTAAAAACTTTTTTAAAATATCTGTATCTGTTTATCAAAAATGTGTTTTATAACAATAAAAAGAAGACTATGTGTCCTCTTTTTTTCACACTCAAATATCTCTATAAATGCGTGCATAAGAGAATACTGTTTACTTGTGAATCCCCTCCCCTCCCTCCGCCTAAAAAAACCTGATTTTGCTTTCTATTTTCAAAGAAATGGAAAAATGGAAAGCGAAACAATCTAATGAATAGATTAGAGGTTTTTTTCTATCAATACTATTTTCTTATATATATCATACAGATTAAATGAATATATATCTATATATATTTAAATTGTTTTAATGGAAGACAATAGTACCATCGATCAAAGACTATGGGAAAATTATTAACCACAAAACCAAAAATGGCGAGAGATAAATATTAAAACGGAAAGAAACACGGAAAGAGAAGAAAAAAAAACAAAAGAAGAAAGAAAAGTATCTATGATGAATCAAAAATATATTTCAATTTAGTTTTCTTTCTTCAAGGTTAACGTATATAGCTACTTCTCGATTTTTATTTTCTTTTTTCTTTGCTGTTGTTGTATACTTCATACATCACCATTAAAGTTCTATATTTATATATATATATATAAATATGTATTGTGATATTTTGTTATGGAAAATTAGAATCATGGGAAATGTCGCTATTATCATGACTATCAATTGAGAAAAACAAAGAAAAAATAAAATATATTTTATATAGGTATATTTAAATATCTATCAAACAAATGTTTCTTTTCTTCCGGCACCCGAAAGACAACAATCTTTTACTTAATTGAATGAACACTTGAAATTGAAACGTAACGATTAACGGATGATTGAATAATCTGTAAATACCTTCGTACACCTAATAAATGTTGAAGAAAAAGAAGAAATTAGTGAACAAATATAATAGATTTGTTCTTTCTTTCACTACCACAATCAGATAGATCATCTTTTTACAAAAAATGATGATAAATTTTTTAATTTTAGTGACAAATCTATACAATTCCATTTATTCTTAAAAATCGAATATAAATTCTGTTATATATTTTTTTCATAAAAACAACAAAAATATGTCAACTAATGAATCCTATATCATGACATACCTGTGAAACCGATAGAGCATTTTTTTAGATTGTTTATTATTTTTACCAAAAAAAACTTTTTTGTTTAATTAATCATCATACTCTTATAATTGTATTCATAAATATATTTCATTATTAAATAGTAATCGTATAGAAAAATGATAATCTTTTGTTACCGTATAACATTATACGTTTAAAATTTGCTTTGTATAAATCTTATTTTATATCATATCATAATAATTAAGGACATTATTTATTTATATGTCTCTGAACATTTATAAAGTAAAATGATCATCATCAACAGCACAGTACTCTCGTCTTCTATCACTAAAGAAGAAAGAGAAAAATATGTTTCCCATTTTTCTAATTTATAGTACCAAGTATCTCTATTTTTATGTATAAAATTTTCCACACATTTACTTTTCTTTTTCCTACGAATTTTTTTTTCTTCCCCATTATAGTTGTAGATAAATTTACAAGTTATAAAAAGACTTCATTTGTTTACGGGATTTTTCTTCTTTATAGACTAAATTATATACACTAGTTTATTAAACAGATGCATAATCATTTCTTCTTTTCTCTGAACAAGTACCACTATATATCTTTCACAAGTTTTAAAGCAAATATTTGTAAGAAAACAGATGTTTATGGTCGAAAAAAAATTATACACATACGTACGAATTCTAACTTTTTGTATAACCAAAAAATAAATAAATAAAAATTATTGAAAATAAATTTGAAACGTCAGTAGACGAGAATCAAAGTTAACAATTTTTTTCAGTAAAAAGGAGCAAAAAATAGTCAAATAAATCTTTAAAAAGTTTTCTTTTAATTTAAGTCTAACTAATGGATAAGAATACCGAGATAAACGTCAGATAGGCTACTCGATCAATAATTCGACTAGCGGAACACAGGAACGGAAAACCAATTAAAACTTTAAATAGCTAATTTTTGACAAATGACATAGTTTTTCAACAATGACAACAACAACAAATAAAAAATATATCACTTCTTTTCTGTATAATCTCTTCATCGAAAAGAAAATTTCCATTAAAGCTTTCTTCTTCTAGACGCAAAAATCCGTTGACATGTGAAAAATGGAGTAGCAACAACAAGAGTTGATTGATTCTCTTACACAAGCTTGAAAAACTGTAAAAGTGAGTCAGTTTTGTCAAGTTTGAATCAGATTTCTGACTGTTCAATATAACAAGTGAATATCGAACTAATTTTTGAAATCTTAACGGAATAAAGTATAGAAAAAAAAATTAAAAAATGTTATTATATTCTTATTTCATTGTAGAGTGCATACATACCAGATATTTAATATAAGACACAATTAATGTTTTCTCATATAAAAGATTAATTTCGTTCTCTATTAATTTTCTATACTCATCATTTTTTACGTTTTTTAGTTTAAGAATATTTATCAAAAAATTTATACTGTCCACTACTACTAAATAATGTACTATACATGTAAAAAGTGATGTCCATCTTACTTACCTCACAAAGAAAAACAATATACTAATATTTCTATCTTATAACAAAAAAAAGTTTGTCCTTTTTGTTTCAATCACGCGTGCCATTTCAATGAGTCTTATTTGATCTATGTACCGATATTTCCGGGGCTTGTACGACAACATAAACTAGACGACTGACTATTTAAAACGCATGATATACAAATTAAAATTAGACCGTTCAAAAGAGTACATATCCGAATTAAAATGTCTATTACCGTCCAGCTGAAACTTTTTTTGTTAATACAGTTGAAAATACTGTCCTTAAATCTGGTGGTATTGTTTGTAAATACATATTTGGCACTGTTAACCGTGATAAATGAGTATTAGAATGATGATGATGATGATGATGATAATAATAATAGTGATCTCCTTTCGTCATCTCAGTAATATGACAAAATAACAACAAAAAAGAAATAGAAAATTTATTAATTTTTTACTAATAAACTTCGATAAGTGGATTATAGATGATTGTAATAAAGACAAAAAACACATGATATCTATGATGATTATCCTCTTTCTATTATATATATATAAAATCATATAATGATTTTATCATGATGTTGTTGTCAGAAGAGAAAATAACCATCAAACATTGGACAAAAATCATAACAATCTAAAAACCTCTAGGGGATTTTGAGAGAACAAAACTGATTTGTAAATATTATTTTCAATAGAGAAAAAAATTCTTTTTTTCTATCCTTTAGTTTTTTAATGATTCGAAAAACAATTAAATATTCAAATAGTGAATATGTGTCTAAATCAAAAAAATCATTAAATAATCTTATAAATATTGTGAGACTTTTATATGATAACTATTTTCTTATTGTCACTTACGATATTTGCCTCTTTTTTTTCCTTTCACTGCTCTCATCGATTTTCTAGAAAAATATGTGCTAAGTAAAGGGTAACCATTTTGTTCATGTCTCTTTTAACAGACATTATGGTGACATAATACGAAAATGTCAGGATATATTGTATGAAAACGAAATATTATTGAAAAACATCAAAAAAGATGATTGTTTTGAATACGGAAAGATCTTCATGCTGCTACAATTATCCGTTCGTCTGTGAGAATAAAAATAAGTATGAGATACATTTTCAGGTAAATGTTTTGGTTATTTATCGTATTTCTTTTCAAGATTTAAATTTTCAATACTTACACCGACGTTCTTGCTGAAAGTCCATGCATATTGTTAAAATATCAATGCAATATTTCGTTAAACATAATAACATCAAAGAAATAAATTTTAAAGTTTTAAAAACTAAACACCATTATCATTTACAATGAATATATCTTACATAATGGAAAGAGAATCCAGTGTTTTCTACTTCTCTGAAATAACAGATATATAACATACATATTTACATAAAAATTGTCTTTTACTTATTCTTTTTTTCTCTTTTCTTTTACGCTAGTTTTTATAGAGTAAAAAAAAAAAAAAAAAACTAATACAACATAACATAGAAAAAGCTATTTTTTCCTTAATACACACAATCATTCACATTCCTCTAGTATTTCATATAATTGAAAAAAAAAACTTTTTTGACCTCAATTCATACAATACCATTATATTATTTATATATATTGTTTTATTTAAAAAACGGAAGTTTATAAAAAGAACATTGATAACAAAAATTTACTATTTAAAGTCAAGAGAGAATTTTAATTAAAAATATTTTATAGTGCCTCATTATTTTTTCTTCATTATAGTATATATTCCTAATGAGTGTAGACACATAACACATGGAACTATTAGTCTAATACAATATCAGGTTGAAATTAACTATTATCGTTAAATATGTTAATCTATTTCTCTTTGTTTCTCATTCGAGTATCAAGAAATACTTTATAGTGTTTCTCATTTTTCTTTTTCTTTTTCTTTTTTTGTATATGCTCATTTTTCATATCGTTACTACAAAACTGTCACTTCTTTTTGTGTATGTGTGTGTGTGTGTGCATAATTTTTCTAAAAACTCAAAAATTAATGTCGGTGTGTATGTATTTCATAAAAAAAAACCTGAAAACATTTTTAATCTATATTACGCTTCATTTAAGTAGTTAGAAGAGGGGGAAAAAAAAAAAGAAGAAATGATTTTCTTCTTTTCTTTTTTTTTGCTTCTTCTCACGTTCATTTTGAAAATAATTATGAAACAAACAGAAAAAAATAATAATTTAATTTTGTCTATAAAAGAATTCTTTTTTTTTTTTTGCAGCAAATATTCGTCTAGATGAACGTGTGACTAGTTTCAAAGAAATTCACCTACGCTAATTTATATATGAGTAGTATTACTATTACATTCAACTGTGGATATTGAATATTCGCTTAATGTAATTATAAATAAATACGATATATCTTTAAATTAGCTAATTTGAAAACACGAGAACAAACAGATAGAAGATTTTCATTCGTATATAATTGTTCTCTGTCTATTTTACTTTTTTTAATTTAAAATTGTGAGATTGTAAACAACCGAATAAAGTAAAAAAGATTCTCATTGATCTTAGCCGAATAGAAACTTTTTTTGTTTATATTAATGAATTTTATAATAAAAAACAAAAAAATAAGTCGAACTCTTTCATAGATAAATTAAGATTTAGTATGTGAAAATATTTTTAATTCTTACCTGTCACCACCACTGATAAATTCTCCCACTTTTAGATCGTGGAGTTTTGTTGGTCTTAATTCTAAATCAAAATGTTCTATACGTTCTTCTTCGTGTCCTCGTTTACCAGATGAACCGGAAAGTTGTTTTGTTCGAAGATTAGAAATGCTCGTTAAACTGAAATATAATAAATAAACAAACAATAAAATAATTATAATGTAGAAAATAAAAGATATTTCATTACCGCTGGATCTCAGCTCGTTTTTGGCGGGGAGCCTTATTCATGAGCTCTAAATTAAAAAAAAAAAGAGAAAAAAAAGAATTAAAATTAATTAGAAAATCCCATATTGGAAAAATTTTTTTTAGTATTTCTTTTTTCTTTTTATACGTTTAAAAAGAAATGAAAAAAAAAAAACCATTGTCTTACACGTATACATAAACAAAAACATAAAATATATATATATTTTTTTTTTTTTTTTTTTTTTGGGGGTGGTAATTATCAAGGTTATTGGGTAAAAATTTGGCTTAAAAAGTTTTATTTTTTTAAAATAGAATTCAATGTTGAAAAGAAGAGGTGGCCTGTGATGCCATAAGCGGAAATGTACTAGGATTCTCTACTCTTTTTTTTTTTCTTCGATGTCTGAATATATATCTATATATATATGTAAACATGTTCGACTCTACTTTTAATCAAAGAGTGTTAATGAAACTTCTTTTCTAATTCAGCCTTAAGATAGTCACAGTAATAATAATAATAATAATAACAATAATAATAAATTTTTTAAAAACATTCTCCTATTATGTGAGGATGTTGTTAATGATAAATGAGTGAGAAAGTATATTGTAAAGAGTAAAAATTAGAGACACCTAGTTGACAGTAATAAAATCAATTCTATTTCCGATGAAAATGTCGACATAAAATTAATTCGGCATGATAAAATGATAAAAAATTTAGAACTTTTATATAAATATTTCTTTTTAATATTTTCTTTCTCTATATTTAAGTCATAGTATATCCAAGCATAAAATAACAACAAAATCTCGTATCATCCAATTTATCTAGATGACTAGATTTTTACTCTATTGCAATTATTTGGTAATGACAGTGAAGAATGGAATAATCGAGTGATTGTCCAATATTTTTCTTCAGTTGCTCAACAATCGATTTAACTATTGTTAGTTACAGATGCAAGCACATCTAGTTAAAAATCTCTTTTCCAACTGGTAATCGACATGATAACTAGATGTACATCGTTCGATTACAGACGAAAAAACGTCTCTAGATTTTTCTCATAAGTGATTTTTTTTTTGCTTGGATAATATAGTTACTTCTTTATTTTTAAATAAATATTTTTAATATTTGAATAGTGTCATGATCAATATTATCACATATGAATGATATATCAATAAGAAAAAAAATAACTATGCGTTTTAATAAATTCGTAAAAAAGTGTTCTGGTAATTATTAGTTATAAATCATTGTTCTATTTTAAGAAAAAGAAAAAACAATGAATGAAATAGTGTACTCGGAAAACATGTGTCTTTCCTGCACCTAACGTGAACATTTTTATTCTATTATTTTTTAAAAAATAACTCTATATTCTTTTCTAGTCGAGATAACATTGACTTGAACTACTTGAAATACTTGAAGAATTAAAAGTACGGTGAGGGTGAATAATAAAGAGCAATTGCCTCCTTGTATAGTAAACATTTGTTTCTTCTTACCTGGCTAACATTTTTTTTGTCGAAAAAAAAAAAAACCCGTAAAATAATAGAATATGTATATTTTCGACAAAATTTCAGATATGTTTCTCATAGTTTACTATATAATAAAATAATCGGTAAAAAAAAATGATAGATTTATTTTTTTATTATAAAATATGTTTATCTTTGTCAGTATGACATAAATCCATGTAATTATTTATTAATATATGTGAAGACTACATAGTAAAAAACAAATTTTTTTTTTTTTTTGAACAAAAAAGTTATCAGATTATTTTTTATAGTTACACGATTTATTTTAATCAACTAGATGAAGATGATAAGTTAAAGGATAGTAATGTCCGGAAGATAAAAGAATAAAAAAACAAATGTTACTTCCAGAGACATAAAAGTTTATCCTATTAAAAACACAAAAAAAAATGACAAAAAGTCTACTAGGACACTTTTATAGTTAGTCATACGTTTTTTTTTGTTTTTGATGTTATCAAGGTACCTCTATATGAAATCATCATATTTCAACTTCATCTATAAATCAAATATTATTTTTATCTATTAGGATAAGTTTAGATGAGAATGTCTTTGTCATCATCCAAAGAGGAAGAAATATTCAAAAAATTTGAAATAAAAATCATACGGCTGTTGAATTATTTTATTCATTTTTTACAAGAAATTTTTGTTTTTTTTAATAAAATAACTGAAGAGAATGTGCCTTTGGATCTTGTACTAATTGTTAACAAAAAAATAACATCATTAAACAAAATATGTGTAATATTTGAACTGAGTACCAATAATGAACATTTTTATACAATGTTGAAATACAAATATAGAAGCAACACACATTTTTTTCTTCTGTTTATTTTTAGGTTTTTGATGTTCAACTCTTAATCAATTAAAAATATTCTTATACAAAAGTACTTTATAGAAAAGCAGGATGTTTCTTAGTACTTCACGGTATTTATATTATCTTTTGTATTAAATACTCAAATCGTGAATTTATTACATGTTTCATGAGGGACATGTATAAAAACATAGCTAATAGGTGTCATTATCATAGTGTGTTATTCAACCGATAATAATATAAATCGTCCATGAGTTAGGAAAACAACAAATTATTGAAAGCGATTCAGTCATCATCCCATCCGCTTAAAGACGATTTAAAATACATGCATATCGAACAGTCAATAAAAAAATATAAAAATAAGTAGTGAATTTCGTGATAGATTTTTCATGTTTTTCGAATAAAAAAGAGACGACGTAGTTAAATGTTCAATATAGAATAAATTAGACTATTTCCTATATTAACATGAATCGTTTTTAGTAAAATAAAGATGTTTGCTTAGAAATTAAAATTAATAAAATATATGTTGTTTTTGTGTCTAATGATTAGTTTCAAAGTTCGTGTCGATATAAAATATTAGACTGCATTGTTAGGGCTAAACAAAGTATTCGAGAGCCTATTCACCTGACATGTTGTCATTGACAGATATTGAAAGTTTAGCAAAGCAAAACTATGCAACTTTATACTGAGCAAAACGTTTTGGGAAATTTACACTCTAATATATGTATTGCTACTATTGATACTATTCAAATTTTGTTAACGTTTTTCAGAACTATTACTAATCTTTTCTCTGATAGCAAAGCGTATCAATAGGTGTGTTACATAAGAAAACGAACTCCAAAAGAGCTGATCGTATTGAGCTAAAAGTTAGACTTTAAGGGTTTTGAACTATGCTCTTTCATTTAGCTCACTCAGCTTCGTTTCCAAACGTATGGAAGTGGGGTTTCTAGAAAATCATGGTTTCTCTCATACTTAGATAAAGAAAACTATTTTTTACTAGGAAAATGCTGCTTTAAACGACTTATGTGGTGATCATCGTATTCAGAACAGAATCGATTACATTTTGAAAAAAATTCTAATTAAAATGTTAACGTTATGCTGGAGACTTAAAATTTTTTTCAAATGTGATCGATTCTGTTCTGAATACGATGATCATTACAAAAATCATTTGAAGCGATTGCATTTTCCTAGAAGAAAGTTTTTCTGCATGCCAGAAACCATGATTTTCTAGATATCCCACTGTCACGCGTTTGGAAATAAAACTAAGAGCATCGTTCAAAATCCTTAAAGGCTAATATTTAGTCCAATAGGATGCCGTGTGTAGAAACTGGTCTAGGCCTACTTTCTCATGTAACACACCTATTAGACTATAAAGAAAAGTATAAAACTAGCCCTACTATATAGTAATTCCTAATTCTATTTATTCTTTTTCTATCACCAATAGAGATATTTCATTTATCTACGGTGTTTTTATGTTGTGTTTTGAAAAATTTATTCTTGTTTTAAACTAATTTCTTATTTTTATTTTGAAGTCTTTTTTTTTAAGGTATAGACGAAATTATTTCATCTGTTTTTGTTTCAGGAAATGTTTTGTTGGAGGTCAACTGTAAAAGAACTCTTCTTGTTCTATTCTCAAAAGGCGTTCGTTCTTCCATTAAATGTTTAAGAAAAGTGCATTTCTAACAAGTGTACTTCAATAAAAGTGTTGAAGTATTGACACGATATGTTTTTTAAGTCGTTATTATTGTGTCATTAGTGGTACTCTCATCGTTAGATATGGATAGATAGATAGATAGATAGATATATGTGTGTGTGCGGTTTTTGTTTGATAGAAACAAAAAAAGAAAAAAAAGAAGAGAAAGGAACAAAGAAAAACACATTGTTCAATCAATGGAAAAAAAAGAGAAAAATAAAATCTTATATAAAGGATATAGTTAGCTATATATCATATACATACACATTCAAGTGTAAAAGATTCGCTTTCGAACATTGGATAGAGAGAAGAAAAAAAAATGAGTTAATAGAAAAAAAAATAGATGTTCAATTCGAAAGAATATGTTGAGGTTAAATTCAGATCAAGACCTTCAAGTGTAAGAAATGGAGTCGTCTTTAATACACATAGAAAGTAGTAACATTTTCAAGTCTTTACTTTCTCTCTTTCTCTCTCTCTCCCTCTCTTCCTCTCTCTCTCTCTCTCTCTCTCTCTCTCTCTCTCTCTCTCTCTCTCTCTATATCTCTATCTCTCTCTCTCTCTCTCTCTATCTCTCTCTCTCTCTCTCTATTGTTTTTTTAATAATTAAAA